CACACACACACACACACACACACACACACACACACACACACACACACCGGAGTTCAGAGGTAACTAAGTGCATACTGTACCTAAGTACAGTGCTGGAGCTAAACTTCACATTTCCGTTCTATCTTCACTCTTTTGCTTTTTCTTTCCTTCGTTTCCTTATTCATAGTATTATGAAAGCAACATTTTGTGGGGAAATTATCAACAGCGTTAAAGTTCAAAGCTATACTTCAAAGGATGTATAAAAGTATAACAAAGAAGGCAAAGCATCCAGGATCTCACTCTCAGTATTTGGATGCACCGATACGGATATCGGGCCGATACAGACTCAAACAGCTGGATGAGGTAGCGGGGACATTGGAGCCCATCTGTCTTAATCCCTGTCTAGGTTTTGAGTAATTTGTTGCTGCATTAGAAAGGTTTACACTTTAATTGTAATTAGTTGTTTTTTTCTGGTGTACAATTTATTATTCTAATAATTCAGAACAATTCAGTAAATTGCATTTTGTTTTACAATGTTAGGAAAGCAAAGTTCAAGCAGGTTGATCATAGTCACTTCCACATAGTGAGGCATAAATTATGAATCTATAGACTGGTGGATAGCGAATTTGATTACAACTGGGAACCAGAACCAGCTGGTCTCATGTGACACCTTTCTTGATCTCTTGACCTCTAGATCACCTGATCTGCTACAGCCCTGTAGAGAGCGTCTGCTCTGGGTTTGTTAAACACAGCCCACCACCTACAGCACCTGTTTAGACGGGCCTTTGTTTAGCTTTCCCACTCTTCAGTTTTCTCTTATTGTGAAGCAGTTCGTGACGTCCGACAGAAAGGTGCTGAGTAAATAAACTTGATTTCAACGTTTATCTTTGGTGCAGTCGTTGTCGCTCAGTGCAGACACAACAGTCTGGCTGCAGAAGGGCACTGAGTTCATGCACTTAACCATGAGGAAAATACAGCAACTATCAGTCGCCCCACTCATCCCAATAAGACACTTATCAAACATCCCGAAAATCACTTGAAGTCTTTTGTAGGCCAGATTTAGTTTCCTTTTTAGGGCTGTTTTTAAGACCTTTTGCTTCTTCAGCCAACAGAGAGAGTCAGGAGGAGTCAGGCGTTTGATGATGTGGCATGAAGGATCAGTTCTCATTATTATCACTGGCACAAGGCACTCTGATCAGCTTACAGCTGTATGATCAGAACGTACTTCACCTTTTGTGTGTTCAGTTTTCAGGTCACTACAGCACTCGTGAGACGTTTTTCTACCTTATTGAAGCCAGTGAGGGATTATTATAGAATCATGTTACGTTTATTTATCATGAGTGGACTCTTTATCTTATTCCCATAACAACAAATTATTAGGTTAGAATAGAAAAAAATGCAATTTTGAGAATAAAGTAAAAAAGGATAAACATCACCAGAAAATACCGTGAACAGGTCCACAGCATGAACAGAGTCAAGAGGAGAATTCTAAACTTGTAACCATCATCTCTAATTAGAGATTAGATTATTTATATTCAACATTTTGTATATTTTTTTGATGCCGATGAAGAAAGAAAAAAACACAAACAATCTCAAAGAAATCTGTATTGGCTTAGATGTCAAGTGATAAGTAATAAATGTGAGTTCAGAAATGTCACCAGAGAATCGTTCACTGCCGCTGTTAACACGAGCGAGCCCAACGATCGTTCATAAATAGCACTGCCAATAATTCTCACGCAATCACACATGAGCTTCGTGACATAACCTTTTCAACTGCAGCCAATTTGAGATACGTGACCGGTGCATGCCTGTCACAGTCACAGAGTCTTGTGATGATTAAAAAGGTCACACACACACAGACACCCACAGACACACACACACACACGCACACACAGGTTGTTTTGTCCCTTGTGTCTTCTCTGTTACTACAGGCAGAAGTCCTCCTGGATTCTTCCTCGGCCCTTGAGCCACACATCTTTAGCTGCATACTGCAGTAACACATAACAAACAAGCCACAACCCAAGTGTCTGTCAGACCACTGAACACGTAACCAAAACACACTGAAAAACAA